CTGCAATCCCTTCTCCATTCTCCTCTTGGGATCTTGGGCCTGCACGCACACGTGCCTGGCGTGAGTTTTAAGCCAGGTATGGAATTCAACCCTCACATTTGGCCGTGTGGGATCCAACTGCTTTAACCACCACACCACTGGCTGGCCCCAAAGCTGCTTTTTAAAAAACATTTTCAGGGTATTGATGGTATAGGTGCACCACAGTGTTGTCTTAACACCCTCCCCTCTGCTGAACACCACTCTGATTGTTTCTGTTTCTTTTTTCTGTGACTGTGATAACATCCTTACAATTGCATATTTTTTTTAGAATTATTTTATTTAACTTTGTTTTTGTTTGTAATTTGATCAGAGAGAGAAAGAGAGAGAGAGAGAGAATGAGAAAGCAAGCCACCAGGTCTATGACTCGACCTGCAGTCAGCCATATGGGAGTCCAACACCCTTAACCACCACGCCACCTCCTAGTCCCCTACAGTTGCAGTTTTAAAGGTGTGTTTATAGGGTGGTTTCTTAGTAGAGGAGGGTATAAAGGTTTATATGTTGGTAAAATGTTGTTAGAGTACCCTTTTGAAAGATCGTACCAGTTTACCACCTGTATTATATGAGAATGCCTAATACTCAGCACTCTTCCCAACACGAAGCATTAGCACAATTTCCAATACTCTTTTGGTAGATAAAAAATGGCACTCCATATTTAAAATTTGTACCAAGTGAAATTGTCACCCTCTTTGTTTATTGTCTCCATTATGGTAAATGGCCTCTTCATTACTGGGCAAAGAACACTCAAGTTTGCCTTTGAAACTGTAATGTAATTTACTTAATTTACTTTGTTCCTGCATCAAAAGGGTATTAAAATTTCATTTGGTACATTAGGGAAAGACTATTATTAATCATATTGGGTGTGATGATAAATGGTGGTTAAGAAAAAGAAAAAAATACAAGCTGAAGAATTTATGGGTGGAATAACATATTTGAAATTTTCTTCAAACTATTCTAGCTCTCCCATGTACCTGTGGAGAGTAGGTACATGAAACGAGATTGTCATATGTTGATAGTTGTTCCTGATTGATACAGGCTTGTGGAGAGTCATTAAATTAATCTGTATTTATTTTGTTTGAAATTTTCTTAAATGGGAAGTTAAAAATAAATAGCAGAAATACCTTCTTTCGTTTTGTTTACAGTTTATTTTTTTTTTCAGAACTGATATGCCCCATTGATAACCAGAAATTTTTTTTAAAAATATTTATTTATTTCCATTTGTTGTTATTATCATTTTTAAATTTTGACCAGAGAGAGACAGAGAGAGAAAGGGAAAGCGAGAAAGCAAGCCTCCAGGTCCGGGACTCGAACCGTGGTCGACCACATGGGAATCCAGCACTCTTAACCACCACACCACCTGCCGACCCCGATGACCAGAAATTTAATAGTAGATTTTCTGAAACTTTTTGGGATTATAGGTGTACACTTCATGATTTTTTAAAAGTTATGTTAAAATTATTCTTAAATTTGATTTACTATTATTATTTTGTTTTTAATTTGCTATAGGGCACGTGCACTCACCAGAGAGAGATGTGCGAGAGAAAGAGAAAGTGAGAAAGCAAGCCTCCAGGTCCAGGCTTGTGGGAGTCTGGCACCTTAACCACCATCTGTGGTCCCCTGTACGCTTCAGTTTTGTCCCATGTCCCAAGCTCTTTTAGAGAGTTAGCATTGGCAGTGTTCCTGCAGCGTGAGCTTTTTTGATGAACACACTCCTAATTATGATACTGTTTTTAGCAATTAAGTCACTGAAAAATTGAGTACTTTCTATTTATCAGATAATGTAGAGCAGTAGGAAATAGCTCAACAAAGTCTCCCTGCCTTTATGGAGCTTACCATCTGTGAACATAAATAAGAAATCTTCCCTTATCTTACACAGAGATTTTCCTTCTGCATATTTCTGCTTCTAATAGTTAGGTGAAATAATTTACTCTTAGTTCAAGGTGATCTTGAAAGTTTGATGAAATGAACTACTAACTTTTTTTTTTTTTTTAACAGATGGTTCCAATCCATATACATTGAAGCTTTGCTTTTCTACATCATCCCATTTATAAGAAGAGAAGAGCATGTTAGAATTTATGTTTACCTTGATTACAACTTTAAAGTTACACTTCATTAAAAAATAATCTATAATGATTGATCTAATGTTGCCTTGCTTACTTTAAGATCCTGTTCTGTAATAAACATATTTTGCCTCAAGTAAATTTGTTGTAAACTTAAATATTGAATTGTTTTCATTTTAAGATAGAATATCATAACGTAGACTATCTACAGCTTCATTGTAGATTATGCAAATATATTATTTCTAATCTTATTACTATAATTTTTCTTCCACAGTAAAAATATATTTGCATTCTTAATGCTAATTATCTGCAAGTATTTTTCCATTGTGTATGAGATTAATGCAGGTGAAAGTATTGCATTTTAATATTATAGAATTCCTATTATATGTTTAAGTATGTTGCAGTTACTCATTAAACATAACTTGTATTTATTATTTTACTCAAATTTAAGAATAACATTGCACATGTTAAATTTTAAGTAACTACATATTAACTGAGTTTGTATTTCTAAAAGGCTAACAGGCATATGGCTACATTTGTACAGTATGCACTCAGATTTGTTTAAAATTGGTGTATTTTTTTTTTTAAGTCACGTTGATTTGTATTGACATTTCTCTCTTTCTAGTTGTTTTTTTAAGTCACGTTGATTTGTATTGACATGCCTCTCTTTCTAGTCACAGTTTGGAAATTTTATAAAGTTAAAACAATGAGTTAAGTTAATGTGTTCATCTTCATTTGTTGCATGTCAGTTAATCTTGAAAATACATCCAATATTTGGCCTTGAAATTTTAATAGAAGTTATAATTAACAATTCCTCTTCTAGATAATCTGGGATTCCACAGGTGGGCTTTAGACAGTCTTCAAACCCCCTAAAATTGTATGTAGAATTTTCGGTATTTGCATCTTTATTTTTTACTCTTGGATTCATCAGTAATATATGTATTTTTCTATATGGTACAAGATTTAGGGACCTGATTTTATTTCTATTCCAGACAGATAGCTGTTTGTTTCAACACCATTTATTAAACATTCTTTCCACCCACTGGATTTGTTTTGTTTTGGTTTGGTTTTTTAATAATATATCTCATACATTGGCAAGTAAGCTTTAAGGATTAAACATGATATTAAGAGATTATCTTGGTGATTTACTAAATTCATGTTTTGTGTATAGAAAACTGGTGTAGCCGTTTTTTTTTTCATCTTTAAAAGAAGGAAGAATTTGTGTCCTTTCTATAGTTCGAATATGTCCCTCTAAAGTTTTATTTGTTGAAATTTGATATCTATTGTGATGATATTAAGACTATGAGTTTAAGAAGAGATGGGGCCTGGACACAGCAGGTAGTGTAGTGGTTAAGGGACAGGACTCCCACATGGCCACAGTTCAAGTCCTGGGTCTGGAGGGTTGAAATTCATGCTGAAAGGGGTGTGTGTGTGTGTGTGTGTGTGTGTGTGTGTGTGTGTACATGCACGCATGCATGCATGCTGAAAATCCTAGGAGGAAAATGGATTGTGACATGATCATCCCCGTTGGGGAAAGATTTCTTGCTTTCTGTCTCTTCCGTGAGCACACTTGCCCTATAGCCAACATCTCTCTCTTTAAAAAAAAAAAAAAGAGAGAGAGAGAGAGAGATGGAACCCTTAGAGGGTAATTAGATTAGTAAGGTTATTAGTCTGGGGCCCCCATGGTTTCATGAGAAGAGGGAGAGCTGACAAACATGCATGTGGTCTTACCATATGATGCCCTGTACCACCTTGAAGCTGCAGAGTCCCCACCAGCCAGAAGGCCCTCAGCAGGCACCTACCTGACCCTCAAATGTGAGCTGAATGACCTCTCTTGGCTTTTTGTTTTGCTTAAGGTTTCCGCCATAGGGCATGCACACTCAGTAGAGACAGAAAGGAAGAAATCATCCTCAAGGAGGGATGGCCACGCTGCGATCCCATCTTATCCATTCTCCTGAATTTTGAACATGCATGCACAGCACTTGGTGTAATTTTCCCAAACCATGATCAGCCATGTGGGAGTCCAGTGCCTTAACCATTATGCCACATGTTGGTCACCTTTCTTAATTTTATTTTTTTAAAAGAATTATTTATTTATTCACACAAGTTTTTTGTCAGAGAAAGAGAGAAAGCAAGCCATCAGGTCTGGGACTCGATCCGCCGTCAGCCATGTGGGAATTCCAGCGCCCTAACCACCACACCACCTGCTCACTCCCCCTTTCTTCATTTTTAATTACCTAATCTGGTATTTGCTTTACAGTAAGAGAAAAGTCCATAGCTGGTAATAGCAGTTGTGATCTTGAAAATTTTAAACACATTTGCAAATAGATGTTCCATTTATAATAGATATCTTATAAAGCCTTTATTTTTAATTACTTTCTTAGTTTATCTCTTTTATGAGATGGAGGCAGAGAGGAGAGAGGGACCTCCCCTTGACAGGGTCACATGAGGCTATAATCCCTTCCCCCTTCCTCCAGTCAGCCAGGACCTGGGGAACATGCTCAGTGTTTTGGGTCTACAGGTGATCTGTATCCGCGGTCAGCCACATGTCTCAGCATTGCAGGTCAGCACACCACCACCTGCACCACTGAGACTGGGCCCGTTTTGGGTTTTAATGTAAAGTCCTTAATCCTTTTAGAGATAAAGAAGGGGGTTAAAAGTTTAAGAGCTGTTGGCTAGAAAGGCAACTAAACATAAATACTTATTTCCTATTGAAATTTTTTATTTTTGAAAATTATTGCATAAGACTGCACCTACACAAAAACAGCACCCCTAATAGGTCTTTTTTCCTCCCCTCAGAAGGCACTTAGTGCATTAGAGAGAGAAAAAGTGAGAGAGCACCCTCCCCATAAGCTGCTCACACCACAATCCCTTGTCCATTTCTCGTTTCAGGAGTTTAGACACGCACGCACACGTGCCCCTAGCATTCAGTCAGCCCCAGATCATGGGTAAGTATGTGCGTAGTGGACACAGGGAGAGCTCCAGGGGACCTTCCCGTCTGGGATTGCATGGCAGAGCATTCATTGCCTTTGCCACTGCACCACCACATGGCCCCTGCCCTTGAGTTTTGATGGCAGTGTACTGGTGTCCCTTTAGTCTAAGGATAGAGGAAGGTTTTTGTCCAATCTGGAAATACTTTAGACCCTCTGATGGATCCTAAGTTATGCCAAGGGTAATGTGTGTGAATTGGAACACTGATACGAGCTGTGTGTGTTCCTCAGTTATTGCTAAGGTATTACCCAGTTTGCCTAACTTAATGATAAAGCTTTCCCTATAAATACCTTTCTACCTTTATTGCAAAATTGAAATTTTATAGTGGCTTATATAATCACTATTTCTTTTTTCTTCCTCTGAAAACTAATATGGGATGTCAGTAGTACAAATTTTTTTGTGTGTGCCCATGATTGTAGGCAATAAACCTGTGGATGTTGGTAGTAGGGCTTATTTACTGATAGATTTGCTTTGTGTTACTCACTTGTAGATAGGACCTTTTTTTTCAAGAGATGTTTGCTGTAGGGCATGTGTCCTAACCAGAGAGACAGCAAGAAATCACCCCCCCCGCCCAGGAATGGCCATGCACAGTCCTTTCTCCTCTATTCTCTTGGCATTTTGGGCACACATGCACATGGACCTGGCGTGAGTTTCAAGTCTCTGGGTCCAAGACTCAAACCAAGGTCGACTATGGGAGTCCAGCGACATAACCATTATGCCATCTGCTGCCTCCTGGTACCTCTTTAAAATGCTTTTTCCACTGAAATGGCAAGTGAATTCTCGAGTAAGCTAATTGGGAAGTAGAGCCTTACATATGCACTGCTGTGTAATCTCTATACTGCGGTCACTAGTATCCTCGGGCATCACTGCTGTTAATGGAATATGCTGTGTGCACACCGCCTCTCTACTTAGCCTGGGCAAGAACATTCTTCCCTGTGTTTTTCCGTTTTTAGGAGAATGTAAAAGCAGATTTTAGAGCTATAAAGAAATAATTTGTTTATTTTTTTAAACATTGAAATCTGATCTACATTATTACAAGTCTCACATATTTGATAAGTCTGTCAGACTAATAGAATATGTGCTGCCTTTTAAAATTCCAACTCTTGGTGCCAGCAGGTGGCGTAGTGGTTATGTATCTGAATTCCCATATGGCTGACCAATTTGAGTCCTGGACCCAGTGACTTCAGACTCATACCGGGAGCGTGTGCATGCATGCCCAAAATCCTCCGAGGAAAATGGAGAAGGAATAGTGGTGTGGCCATCCCCCCTGGGGTGTGTGTGTGAATTTTCACTTTTTCACTTTCTCTGTCTCCCGCAAGCACATGTACCTTATAGCAAAAATCTCTCAAAAAAAAGGCAAAAACAAAAACCAAGTCTCCTGCTGCAGGTGTTACCCCACCAAATAAAAAGTATTTGTAATTGGGACTATAGCAACCTAGTGGTTCCTGTTCTGAACTGTACACACATGGTTCCCAACCTAGCATGGTTCAGCTTAGAAGTTTATTTTCCAGTGGGCTTACTGGTTTATAAAAGACATTTTTGACTTCCGGTATTTTGGGCTTATGATAGGTTTATCGGGTCATAACCCCATTAGAAGTTGAGGAGCATTGGGGCCAGCAGGTTGTATGATGGTTAAGGGCACTGGACTCCCACATGGTTGACTACAGGTTTGAGTCCCAGACCTGGCAGCTTGCTTTCTCAACTTTCCCTCTCTCTCTCTGTCCTTCTCTGGTCAAATGAAAAATAAATAAGGTTAAGTAAAGTTAAGTTCAATAATTCTTTTTTTGGGGAGAGGTTTTTGCTATAGGGCACGTGCGCTCGCCAGAGAGAGACGAGAGACAGCAAGAAATCCCCTCCCACGGGGGATAGCCACGCCACAATCCCTTCTTCATTCTCCTCTCGGGATCTTGGGCACACACGCACATGCGCCCGGCATGAGTTTTAAGCCACTGGGTCCAGGATGCGAACCATGGTCGACTACGTGGGAGTCCAGCGACAGCCATTACGCTAACTGTTAAACAATTCTTTAAAAAAAAAGTTGAGCATCTATTTTCTGTAACAGAACTGAAAAGAAGAAAAAATGATGACATAGGCCAGCTTTGTTTTGTAGAGCTTTTTCTTTTTTTAAACATTGCTATCTGCAAGGACAGGTAGATTTTCATGTAATTGCTTTCTAGTAGCTATGAGTGATACTGTATCTCTGGAATAAGGACATTTTCAGTGCTCAAATATTTTTTGGTAGCTAGGAATCTCAGGCACAGAGAGGTTTGCTTCACTTAAAGATGCTCAGGTGAAAAAGATAACTGGGGCCAACCCCATAGCCTCATAAGGGAAGCTGGATCAGACATAGCCGACCTTGGTTTAGTCCTACCTCGGTGACTTTGAGAAACATGCACTTTGCAAGCATGCCCCGAATC